TAATAAATCAAATGTTTTTAGTATTCAAAAATTTTTTTTTTTTAAATTTATAAGGAAAACTTTATCAATCATCTATCTATTCCATTCTTTTTAATTAATTACTAATAATAAAATGATTTTCAATTAAATTGATATTTAATTAAATTATTTTTATAAATTATAATAACAAAAAGAAAAAAAATTATTTTATATTATCATAATTAAATTGTTTATTTTAATAATTTATTTGTTTGTTTGCAAGAAATGAACTGTTTTCTTTTCCATTGCCGCCATTTTGTTTTTTTAATTTCTTCTTCTTTTTTTCTCTACAAGTTTATCAATTTTTTTTGTTTTTTATTATTTAAAAACCTTTTTAATAATGTGTATAACGTTACTTATTATTTATTATTTATGTAAATAAATTTTTTAATAGGTTTTTTGTTTTAAAAAAAAAATAATTTCATTTTATTGTACTTGTCAGGTTTTTTTTTTTTTTTTAACAAATCAATGTGAACGTTTAAAAGATGGAGGAAAAAATGGTTTGTAACTTCTTTAAAATTATTTTATAACAAATTTTAGTTTTATTTTAATAATGGCATCTATTTAATTTAAAAATAAAAAATAAAAATTCAAAGAGAATCTTAGATAAATTATTATCAACTATCTTTTGGTTTTTTATAATCTCACAACTATATCTGTAAATTAAGTTAAAATATTTTTAAATAATGAATGAATGTACATGATAAAGTGTTTTTATGATTATAAAAAGAAAAAAAAAAAAAACATGAAATACGTTTACAAGGTCGTTATTATTATTATTATTATTATTTCTTTGCTACCATATGACATGACATTGAAGGTTAAGGCCTCATAATTTGTTAGCTGCTCTGAATGCTAGTAGTAGTAGCAGTAGTATGTGCTCGACTGTCATGAATTATGTCAGTAAATTACGTGTCTGCACATATTTTTAATTTATTAATGATTTTAAAGCAAAATTAACTTTTTTTTAATCAAACATGGCTACAATCAAATAATGATAATCGTTATGCATTTTTATTACGAAATCATTAATTATGAATTGTTTTGTATAAAATGAGAATTGATCAGTATTTTTTATTTTATTTTGGAGATAATTATTATTTACTCTTTCTTTTTTTTTTCTTTTTCTACGTTTGTTTGATTTATATTGTCTTAAAAAATTTTCTCAAACGTTGTTGTTGTTTTTTTTTCGATTATCAAAGAAGGTAACGGTTTTAGTTTTTTAAAATAAAAATGGCGGGTTTTTCAGCAGCAAACTTTGACTTTCGTAATGCGTTCTTTTTACGTGGAAACAATTAACTTTTTTTTTCGTAAATTATTGCATCGGAAAAAAAAACAAAATTTAAATAATTTTAATTTATAAAAAAAAAAAAAAAACGTTTTTCTTTTGTTAATATTTTATATCTTTTTAAAAAAACCCGCGCATGAACATACTTTATATTTCCGGTTTAAAAATTTTAGTTGCTACGTATCAATGATCA